GTTGTCTGTGAAATGAGCCACACAGCAGTGTAGTTGGGGTGGGTTGTCTGTGAAATGAGCCACACAGCAGTGTAGTTGGGGTGGGTATCTGGGGGGTGATCACCCACAGCAGTGCAGTTGGGGTGGGTTGTCTGTGAGATGAGCCACACAGCAGTGTAGTTGGGGTGGGTTGTCTGGGGGATGAGCCACACAGCAGTGTAGTTGGGGTGGGTTGTCTGAGATGAGCCACACAGCAGTGTAGTTGGGGTGGGTTGTCTGGGGGATGAGCCACACAGCAGTGTAGTTGGGGTGGGTTGTCTGGGGGATGATCACCCACAGCAGTGCAGTTGGGGTGGGTTTTCTGTGAGATGAGCCACACAGCAGTGCAGTTGGGGTGGGTTGTTGGGGGTGATCCTTGCAGAAATGTGGTTGGTGGTTATCATTAGGACTTCTTGTTCTCCTTCTCTTTGCGATTTATCTTAAATACATTACCCAGTGACCAACTCTTGTCCCACATTTTACTGGTAAAATCCTAAGAGACCTACTTACTGTTAGAAGAAATGGAATCTTTCAGTTAGTTTATGTTAACGCTGGAGCTCCCCACCAGCCTCTGGAGTTGCAGCACCGTCCCTGGTGTTTCTCGGCAGCTCAGCTGTAGCAGTTTCTGTCCCTCTCAACACGACTCTAGAGCTGTGATTGTCAGTGTCCCACTAATATTTTTCAACACCACTAATGAAATTATTTTCAAAAGAAGTTCAAAACAGTAAATGTATTCTTTTTTTACTTTTATTTTTGATCAACATAATTAAGTGTGTTGTGGAACTATAGGCTCAGGGTGTTCTGTGAGAGAAGAAGGTGGAAACACCTGCTCTAAAGATTTCAGGTTTGACTCGATTCTCAGAAGAGTGAGGTCTCTGAATATTTTGTTATGTCAGTCTTTTTGTCCTTAAATTTCTGACGGTATTACCCACCTGCTAGTCCCTTTTAGGGTGGAGGAGAGTTGTTTAGGTATGAGATCTTATAAAATTCTTAAATTTCTTATTGGTGCCTTATTTCAAGAAATTCATGCAAAGTTTCATTGGTGCTTGTTTGTAACACGTGAGGAGATAGTATGAAAAGAGAACGACACTTTGACTTCTGTACTGTGCACGGACGCTTGACAGATGATGAAATAAACCTGATTTACTGAACTATTTTCTTTCTCTTTTTCTGATTTTAATTTTTTTTTTTATTTTTCTCTAGTCCTCCTAGAACTCCAGTAAAAGTTGTGCCTCACACGAGAATAGAACTTGAGCCTGAAGACAGTGATTATTTCTGAGGAGCAGGGAACAGAAACTACAGTGTAACGCGTTTGTCTTTCTTCAAATTGGGTTTTGTGGTTAATGTTCTTGGGGGTTTTATCTGCCTGTTTATTTTTTAACTTTTGTCTTGTCTCAGTTCTTGGTCACTGGCCAAATAATATAGCGCTCTCTCTGCTTCTCTCTGGCATAGGTAAAATCAGGGCAGTAGTGCACACTGTTTCTTAAAACACCACCTGAGGAATCTCCTTTTTGTTCTTAAACTTGCACACGTGTCCTCTGACAAACCAAATTCCTGAGTCACTCAAGACAGGCACAGACCCTACCCTTTTCCTCTGTCAAGCAGAGGACAGAAGTATTAAGGATTTTACAAACACCTGTTATTTGTAGCTTTGGAGCTGTGCTGACTGGCTTGTCTTTGTCTGGTAGAACAAGCCTTGACCTCCAGGCAGAGCCCCTTACCGCAGAGGACTGGAAAGCACTGCTGTTCTAACCTGCTTCTGCTTGCAAACCCTACCTTATGTTATCAACAGAAGAGAAACGAAAGGTACTTTATCCTTGTAGAGAAACCCTCCCCATCGCCATGGCTGCAGCCAGCGCTGGAGGGTCCCTTTTTCCTATGCAACTTTTTTTAACCCTTTAATGAACTTATCTGTTGAGTACATTGAAGAAAATTTTTCTTCCTAGATTTTGTTGTTTAAATTATGGGGCCTAACCTGCAACTTATTTTTTTGTCAATTTTTAAAACTTTTTTTTAATTACTGTAAAGAAAATGAATTTTTTCCTGCAGCAGGAAACATAGTTTTGAGTAGTTCTACCTCTTATTTGTAGCTGCCAGGCTTTCTGTAAAAATTGTATTGTATATTACGTGATTTTTACACACAGAGACACAAACAAAAATACACAATCTCTGGGGTAAGCCAGAAGGCAAGATCAGATTCAAAACACCATGTTTCAAAGCATCCATTTTTCCCTTTCTTTAAAAAACTTTTAACTGTTCTATGAAGGAGATGGGGGGAGAAGAGATGAGCTCCCACGCAGGGGGATGACGGATGTCCTGATGACAGTGACATCTGTGCAGTGTTGACTGCCACCACGTCGCTGTCCTGTGCAGTATTGTTAGACGAGGTTTCACTTTGAGGTGTTTGTGTGTGTGTGTGTGTGAGTGTGTGTGTGTGTGGCTGGTGCACACGTGCAATGTTAGGAAGAGGGAAGTGACAGCAGGCAAAGGACAAAGTCCCCAAGTCTGTTGTGCCAGTTTTCATAAAACGCAAACCACCTATGGACAATCAGCAGAGGGCCAAGCAATTTACCGTTATGCAAATGAGAGTGAATCTGTCTTATTACACAGATTATCAGTCACCATTACTGACACAATAGCTCACATTGTAGGAATAGGAATGGCCGATCCACCTATCCATAAAGTGTCACATCTGGAATGTGGATACTCTGGGAGGTGGATGTGTTCACACTCTTAACAGTACTAATAGTACTCCCATACTTTTCTTTTTAGGATGCAAAGGCAGTTCTTCAAAACTGGGACATTTAGAATATATTTGTGTACATATACGTGTGTGTGTGTTTAAAGCACCATGTTGAAAATTAGACCTTTATTAACCAAATTTAACATGGTATTTAAATGGACTGATGTACAGTGTACGTTGGTGATGTATGTTAAAAATAACTTTTTAAACATTGAATCTGTAATCTTGAATTCATACAACCACCTTGGTAATACATCCCAACTATCTCTGATTGGAGGAGGAGCACCACAGTCAGAAGGAAACTATTTGTTTCACTTTTATGATAGAGACTTACTGATTTTTATATTAATTAAATTATAAATCTGTCCTCTTGACATTTTGATTATAAAACTTTTATTATCAGAGTTAGCTCTTAGTTTTATAGTATCTGATAACCATAAAAATTTTAATTTTACACAAATTAGATATAAATAACCCTAAGTTTTTCATTAAAATGGCAGTGGGAAATTACATCTTATTGTGTTAAAAATCTCACCTACTAAATTTTGGCATCACATTTTCTATTTAGAGCTATCCTTAAGATGATTATTCTGTATTATCTAGTTTTCTGATACTCCGATACAGAACTGTATAAGAACATCCCCCCTTTTTTACTGATAGAAACATTAATAAAATGTTTTAAAACCATGCATAATAAATGCAGCCTAACCTCTAATCTTGTTAAATTAAAGACATTTGTTGTTTTCTGATCACACATCAAGTATGTGCAGTTTTGCCCCTCTCCAGACCTTTCAGAGAACCCCTGAAGTGACGCACCCACTTTCAGATCCACAGTCTGTGACAGAAGGCTGCTGGTCATGCTAAGAACATACAGTGGCACCTGACATTTGCTAACTGAACAGGTAATGTCAGACCCTCTCAGTGTTTGCTGCAACCCAGGAAGTTTTTTTATAAGAATCGTTCCTTTCAAAGGAGCAGACGTAGTTACCAAACTAACAAGCAAAACCTGGGTCCCCACAAAGCTGCCAGTCACGTGGATTTTAACTGATTTACTCACTGACAAAGAACTGGCCAGATTTGGGGGTGGTTTTGTTTCTATGTAAACTGGACACAAATTACAACAGTAAATTTTTTATGAAGTATTTCTCCCTTAAACTCTGATAAGAATTCGGAGATAAAGATTTGAGTTGCTGGAAGTAAAGGCTGAGTGTGCACAGAGCTGCCAGCCAGAGTCCGGCCCGGGATTGTGGAAGCTCATGGTTGGAGGAACGAGATGGCGGGGGTGGGGGCTCTGCCCTGTCAGGGGGCCATAAACGCCTGTTTGGGAGAACATCCCTTGGAAACAGTGTTCTCCTGTGAAAGGAGGCTCGCACCCTGTTTCCTGGGCCACAGCGAACAGTGTTTCTTCCGCTCCTTCCAGTCAGGGTTGGGGAGGGAAGTGGGGGCCCTACTGGCTTCAGAGGGAGGAAAATAAAACCGTCCTCCCCGGCCACCCTGCAGGAAGGAGGAAGTGACTGTGGGCTGTGGCCACTCAGTGTGATGCTCAATGCAGGTGCACCGGCCACACACCGTCTTTTATCAGCTCTGTGTTGATGCTTGAGAGAGAATGATTGTCTTCCAAGTTTTTTGGTTCCTTTTTTTAAAACTGTGTTAAAGTACTTGAAATGTATTGACTGCTGACTATCTTTTAAAAATGAAACAAAATCGTTTGAATTGTATTACAGAGGTCGGCATTGTTCAGGGTGGGACAAAGCTTTCTTCAAACCTTTTCATACCACTTAATGATTTTGGTGCAGGAACCTGAGAGCCTCTCATTCATTTCCCACGGCAGTTACCATCTGCTCTCCGCAGCGTGAGTATGCAGCCCGGGGCACCGCTGAGTACAATCCCGTGACCCCTTTATAGCTTTTCACATTCTGAAGGGCCTTGGGAATTTTCAGATGATGATTACATTGAGCTTCATTGCAGCCTGAAATTAAAAACTTACAAAAGGTTTTGTAACATATGTGAATAGTCAAGTTGCATTTGACCAGGAATTGCTTGGCTCATTTCACTGTGTTCCATGGCACTTATACAAGAATCGAGAGTGTTGTTTCCTAGACAGATACTGCAACTCAGGGCTAAAGTCATCCGGTGAAACTTAGAGCCAGAAGGAGCTTTGTCCCAGTCCTACAATGTGAAGGGTGAATCGCTGCCTCTTTCTAGCCGTTTCCATGGCTGGTACGTATTCGTACACATTACTTTTCAGAATCAATACGCACTTTCAGATATTCTTATTTTTATTCTCTTAAGTCTTTATTAACTTTGGAGAACTGATGCATCTTTTTATTTTAAATGAAGTAGATCAACATGGTGGAACAAAATGATAAAGAACAGAAAACATTTCAATATATTACTAATAATTTTTCCAATATAAAACCTAAAATTCCTATAACATTATAGTATTTTACAGTTTTATGAAGCTTTCTATTGTGACTTTTATGGAATTAAGAGATGAAGAAGATGAGATATTTTAGCATTTATATTTTTCAAAATTATATGTATACTTAAAATAAAGTAACTTTATGCATTTATGAGTGTCACGTGCTTCTGTTACCTTACTGCGGGTGCTGCCAGGAGAGCCAGGCTGAGACTCAGAGTCCCTGTCCATCAGGAGGATGAGATGAGTGTCCACGTTGTGTTAAATAAGAGATCATAGCAATTTCTATTTAAGGATTAATGAAGTGCGAGTGAATTCAAAACAAGAAAAATATGTCCAACCAAGAACAACGAGAACACCAGTATTGTCATTCTTCTTTCATGAAGTTACTAAAAATACCATTTTCTTAAATCCAGGTTGATGCATACAATTAATTCTCAAAGTAAGAAAACCCCTGCGAAATATGATAAATACTTAATAAAAAGTAATTCCTCAAGTGAACAAAACCCCGGGATGGTTTTCCAAGAGGACAGTTTATCCACTTTTCCTGGGCTCTCCAGGCTTCCGTGTAATCCTGAAATTCTCCAGGAAACTTCATTTCAGCCTTAAGTTATGATCAGAGTGGTGGTAGTGGGTGGGGAGGATGCAAATAACAAGAATAATGAAGAACTACTGGTGGCAGAAAAAGTTACATCAGAAAAACAAAAAGGAGGAGGAATGGCTGCCATCTTTGTACGTGGTGAATTAACAGACAAGTGACAGCTCTGAGCGTCTGGGTGTGGAGGGAGCGGGGATAATGGGCAGCAGTGGGACTGGGGTTTTGTCGCTGAGCTGGAGAAAGCAGCAGCAGCTTCGTTCAGAAGTGGAAGAATTGGACTATTCTTCAACATACACAGTTCACTAACTAGTACATGAATGACAATAACTGAGGCAAGAAGTTCGGATCAAATTATACTTAGTATATTATGAGAAAGAATGTACCTTTGCATGGAGTTCTGCATTTCAGCAGCTCTGTAAGGCTGCCCGGCCTCCCTGATGCACCAGGTAACTGGGAAGCACTAAACGTCTGTCTTGGGCTCTGGGCACCACAGCTTGAGCTCAAATTCTCACTCTGTTTATGCTTATTTTATTCCAAATGTTGATAAGCTACATCATCTATACTTTTTTCAGCACATAAGCAACGAGGAACAAAAGAGAAAACTATTAATAGGACAGAAAAACTTGCAAGCACTAAAGTTTAGTCCTGGCAAGAACACTGTAAAATACACTCAAGTACTTAAGAATTGGATTATTTAATACAAAGGCCAGGATACCACAACAGGTCTTAAAAGTAAAATGCATTGATTTTGTATCAATTAAGTGATTAAACAGATGATCTGGGGCCATCAAGATAATATGAAACTATTTTTTATTTTTGTTCATTAATTTATAAACATAGAATGAAGTCGTTGCTGGAGAACTGAGCATAAGACCTGAATCCTGGCTTCAAGCACCTCCTGCCAAGTGTAACGAGAGACACACAAAGAAACAGCACAGTCAAAGCTTGTTGGGGCAGGGACAGAAGCGAACATCCAAGTGGTTCCATGGGACCCTTCCTTCAGCTCAGAGGTTTTACCTTACATTAAAGGGCAATGGTGACCCATTAAGGGATTTCAGAAGGGAAACGATCAGATTTGCCCAGAATGAGGACTAGACTGGTGAGTTGCTGGACAGAGTGACAGTGGAAACCTCTGTGATGATGGAACTAAGGGATGACAGGTGGGCTGGTCTGGAGCTGAGCTCCACTAGGCAGGTGCATCAGATTAAATGAAAGAGCTCCGGACGCTTCAGTCTCGTGGGTTTCTTATATATGTATGTCTGAATCTTAGCATTTTTCATGCCTTTTTTCTTCCTCAAACAAATACCAGCATTTCAAAGTCCTTCCTCTCTCTCCCTCCCTTCCCAGCTGCCCTTCCTCTCCGTGTCCTGTTTCGTGTCAGTGTTCTTCCAGACTCTGCTGGAGGCCGCCTTCCTGCTCCTCCTGTTCTGCTACTGCGTTCTACCTGTTCTCCTGGCTTCAAATGGCGTCTGCATGCTGCCAGCTTCCACGTCTGCACTTTCTGTCCAGAGCTCTCTCCTGAGCTTCCAACTTCTGTATACAACTGATTTCAGAGCGTTTGGACCTGAACGATACGTGTCCATGTGCCCACCAAGCTTGCCCACTTGCCCCATGCAAGCACTCTCCTGTTCCTGGGGTCCGAAAGATGCCATCAGCCATGGAGTGGGTCAGACCAGGCGCCGGAATGCCACCCTTCATTCCCACTTCCTGTTTATTTTACTCCTTCAATGAACCACTAGTTCTACTTTAGCTCCTTAGTGGATCTGGATCACCATTTTTCTATAACTATCTTCATGACCCTACACTAGCGTAGGTGCTTTCTGTCTATTGCTGGGTTACTGAGACAGCCTCTCACTAGTAGCCAGGCCTCCAGTTCACCTGAAGTATAAACTCCTTCCCCAGGTTCCAGGATTTCTTTTTAATGAAAAACTGATTTCTGCACAGTCTTCTCCTTTCCAAAACTACATTAAAATGAGTCTTATAAAACATCATGAAAGGGGTGCTTAGGTGGTCCAGAGATTCCCACAAGGTTCTGAGTAATGACAGGCAAATGGAAATCTGGGTCATGGATTGGACTGTGGCATAGATGCTGCGATGTGGGCTCAGAGATGCCATGATGACACCAGGAAGGTCACACCAAGGCTTGGGCTGCCAAATGGAGTAGTTGGGCTGGCTGAGAAAGGGTATCAATGGGATGTGTGCACAGAAGATCCCTATGTCCACGGGACACTTTCCAAGACCCCCAGTGCTGGTCTACAACCATGGAAGGTGCTAAGCCCGGTACACATACAGTTTTCTCCTATACATACATATGGTAGTTTAATTTATAAATTAGGCACAGTAAGAGATTAATAATAACAATCATAAAATAGGGTAGTTGTAACAATATGGCAGCATCACTGCTCTTGTGCTCTGGGGCTGTTATTGAGGAGAATAAGGGTTACTTGAACACAAGCATTGTGGTGCCCGGCAGTCAGCCTGCTACCTGATAAGGCCTCTGAGTGATGGAAGGATGGCAGCCTGGGAAGCAGGGACATGCTGGACAAATGGATGATAGGATCCACATCCTGTGCAGGGAAACAGAACAAGATACGATTTCAGCACACTCCTCAGAATGGCGTGTAATTCTTAAGTTATGAATTGTGTATTTCTGGAATTTTATATTTAATATTTCTGGACTGCAGCTGTCTGTGGGTAACAAACCTCAGAGAGCAAACCCTGGCTAAGGGAGCAGGCCTGTGCGTCCAGCCCTACCCACTGCTTGTCGGTCAGCCTAATGCAGCGTCATCTCCGGTGAGAGTAAGGGAGCCTTCCCTAGGACAACTGAGCAAACTGTCTTGGGAGAAACTAACCCCCCTGTGAAACATCTCTCCTCCCCTGATGTTAATAACGGGTTACCATTCCATGTACCTAGTCAAGACCTGAGAAGCAGTCAGCAGGATTTGCCCACAGACGCAGCCTCCCTCCCATGCTAACGTGTGCAGATCTGTGTAGGCGATAATATCACACAGCACTGGAGGGAACCTTGTGGCATTACTGAGGAAGACAGATGAGCAGAAAAACAGAAACTATGAAAACAAATATCAGAGAGACTAGAAGATAACTCTAGAAATCATTTAATTTGTTCTCTATTTGAGAACCTGTACACAGTTTGAACAGGATTATTTTTAAAAGGACAATCATAACATGAAAAATTCTAGAGAAAAATCATTTTAAACCTAAACTTCTAGAACCAACCAACCTATCCATCAATCACATCGTAGAATAAAATGTACGGTGTTTAAAATCTTCAAATTTGTGAGATTCATCTTCCACTCACCTGTTCTTAGAAATTACTCAAGAATGTGCCTATAAGAGATTTAACTGAGATCAAGAGTTAAGGTCACAGAACTATTGATTCAACCTTGTTGAACAGCAATGTCTAGAATAATAGCTGTGTGTCAGGCTCAGAGAGCAATCAATGAAAACTGAATTAGGGGCCAGATGCGGTGACTTGCTCCTGTAATCTTTGCACTCTGGAAGTATTGCTTGAGGTCAGAATTTTGAGACCAGCCTGAGCATCTCTACCAAAAACAGGAAAAATTAGGCCAGTGCAGTGGCTCATAACTGTAGTCCCAGCTACTTCAGAGGCTGAGGAAGGGTGATTGCTGGAGCCAAAACTAAATTAGGAGAACAGAGGACTTGGGAAAGGACAGGGAAAAACACCTCCATGAAATGACTGAAAATCTGGAAAACTTGAATATATGATAAAGCCATTGTTCACAGACAATTAGAAGATCCTATGGAAACAAAAAGTTGTACAAAGGCTGCAGTGCCTGTGGCTCAGTGAGTAGGGCAGCAGCCCCATATGCAGAGGGTGGCAGGTTCAAACCTGGCTCCAGCTGAACTGCAACAAAAAATAGCCAGCCAATGTGGTGGGTGCCTGTAGTCCCAGCTACTTGGGAGGCTGAGGCAAGGGAATCACCTAAGCCCAAGAGCTGGAGGTTGCTGTGAGTTGTGATGCCACAGCACTCTACCGAGGGCAATAAAATGAGACTCTGTATGAGGAAGTTATGACTCAAATATTATGAAACCAATTCAAATTGGAGTTAGTAGAATAATAGAAGTTGCTAAAATTCAAGGAAAAAAGCGTGTTGGATTCCAATAATGAATGAGAATCTGGAAGATACTGAGGATACTGTGAAGAAGGTATGTGTTTATTTTCTCAAAAAGAAAGCAAATGCAATCAGAAAAATAAGAATAAATATCATATGAACAGTAAGTACTTCAAATATGAAGTAGACTTAAGTTGGAACTATTGATGAAAAGAGAATTTACTTAAACTTGACATTGTCTTTTGAGAGGCTCAGGTGTAATTGTGTGGGATCTGTAATTATAACCCACTACTTGGTTCTACCAGAATATTAGCATAGTCATAATATTAACATAGCCATTATAGAAACATAATCTTTTGTTTCAGCATTCAGAACCAATCGACAGACATGGCACAGAATATTTAAAAATGTTAGGGAACTGAACATAAATGCGACTACCCTTGATAATGTAAGAAGCAGCTG